GCTCTGTCCCTTCTCTGAGAAACGGGCTGATAATTTCCTTCTTTTATGAAGCCCCTCCCTCAGAAATAGGCGATGGGCTCTGATTGGTTAGCTAGCCCAGTGTGTTGTGATTGGCTAAACCGCCGCTCAGCGGCATGTGCTCCGGTTGTATTATACGTGTATTATATGTGCTCCGCTTCTCATAGCTATGTGAAAATAAGTGTATAATTGTAACAGTTCATTGTTGGAGCTGAGCTGAATGAGAGAGAGAGATGCAGAGCAGGGGATGTGAGGAACAGTATTGAGAACCGCTGCTTTAGAACATTGATTTTGAAACTTGTGAATCCATTAGAATCGTTAGAAGACAGAATCGCGATTCATATATGAACAGATTTTTACGTGCACCCCTAGTTTTCTCTTCCTCTTCTCTAAAGCAGCGCTGCATGGCCTCGCCCCCTTTGCTGCCTTTTCCCGAGGGCGGGGTTTATCTGGGTTTGTGATGTCACAAACCCGGGAAGTAACTTGTTGTAGTCCCTACCAGTCGTTTTTGTAGGCATTAAACTGCCAGAATTTTAAAAGACGATATCTCCGTTTGCATTGAATTTTCAGCTTCGTAACTTTGCAGATATTGTTTATGCTCAAACAGCAACATTACACTAATTAACATTAAAAAAGGTGAAATCGCAATGAACCACCCCTTTAAATCCGTGTATCATTCGATCATTCGTTTTTTGATTTAATATGAAAGTAGAAAAATGAGAAAATGGCTCCTTTTTCATTTTTTTCCCCATAAAATGAAAAACGAGAATTCAGCTTAAATTTTCGTTTTTCGTTCATGGGTGGAAAAATGAATAAACAGCTTGAATATTTGATTTCTACACGTGGGTGGGAATTAAACGCCCCTTTCTGCTGATTGATTAGCCGAAGATCAAACCGTGCCATCATCAGTTCTTCCGCAGTATCATGCAGCAGAATAATAGTCCTCAGCTGCTGCAGTTGTACGGATTAATAACCCATTTGATCAATTTTATATTTTTCTCATCAAACAGCCTAATAAATAGCTCGACACAACTCGTACCGGGGCATTGTCTAGACAGGGCTTTCTTCTGTGTAGACCAGAGGGTCTTAAAGTGATAGGGGGTCCAAGAAATAATATAGCCTTAATATTGCTATAGCCTAAAGTATTTCCAGACTGTAAAGTCGCTTTTTTTATCATGATACATAGGCCTACTGTGATTTATTCCAAAGTGACTTATATGATGCATTTAATGTAAAATAATCTTATATTAAGCCTTTTAAAAGATGAGTATTCCCTGTGGTTCATGTTTGCGGCATGCGCCAGAAAGATGCTCAGCTGATGCAAAGAATAGAATTTATATCTACACAGAAGAAAGCCCTGTCTAGACAATGCCCCGGTACGAGTTGTGTCGAGCTATTCATTTGACTGTTTGTATGATGAAAAAAAGATTAAATGTAGTTGCAATAAATGCGTTAAGAATCCATACAACTGCAGCAGTGGAGGACTATTATTCTGCTGCATGATACTTCAGAAGAACTGATGACGGCACGGTTGGCTGACCAATCAGCAGAAAGGGGCGTTTAATTCCCGCCCACATGTAGAAATCGAATATTCAAGCCGTTTATTCATTTTTCTACCCATGAACGAAAAACGAAAAAGGAGCCGTTTTCTCATTTTTCTACTTTCAATATTAAATCAAAAAACGAATGATCGAATGATACACGGATTCCTTTAAACTATATTTACTTGTAAACGTATTTTATATATACAATACACATGCTTAGTTCTCATAAATACAAATATATAAAAGACAGATTACAAATATAATATCTTCTTCACAAGTTGCCCTGATATCTGAAAAGTTGTAGTAGTTGTGTGTAATGAGATCAGCTCGGGTTAGTTGTGCAAAACTGCAAACTAGTACGAGACTCGTCGGTTTAATAATACAGCTCAGTGTACATTTAGATCCAAACCTAAATGATTTTAATCCATTTTCGCTTGTTAGTGAATGTTAAATGGGAGATTGCAGATCACAAACTGTTGGATTATTTGACTAATTATTGCATTCCAGGCAAAAAACCTTTGAACGAAATCCACAAGCGATTCGCAGAGATAAATGTAAGTAACATTAGCACATTTATTACGACACAGTGTATATATTTCCTCACCTGTTGTTAAATATTCTTTATTACTCTCCAGTTCCCCTCCAATTCATGATATTACTCCTGAATCACCGGTGTCTACAGCAGCGTGAAGCAAGCGGCCGAGAGAACACTGAACTCCCGGAAGTACGTGAATTTTCAAAATAAAAGTGTTAAATTGTTTCTCGTGAGCTTACCGTTTTAATCTAAGTGTTTTGTTTAACCCCTTAACTGTCACCCCCCATTTTTTAATATAGGCATGCAGGTGCACTATCCAAACTTAAATTGTTGTAATTTATGAACACTTTTTTGGTCTCTTTTTAAAGAAGAAAATCAGCAGATTATTGCAAAAGTGGATTTAAAAAAAAAAAGAATTAAAGTATCAAAAAGTTACGGTAGTTTAAATTTACTGAAAAGAAAATGCACTATATTAATTTTATTTTATATATAATAAATATTTTACATAACAGGTTTTACTCTAAAATTGGTATACAATTAAAGCCTTATGTCTAAATAAGTTATGTTCCAAATTTGAAGTTGATATGAAAAAAAATTGAGGTTATACCACAAACAGCCACCGGGTGCCATCCAAACTCCATTACATTTTTTAATGCATTTTTCTGTCACAAATGTCTAGATTTCTCTGTCAATATTACTTCTATCTCAAAATACTAAATATGAAACCACTAAATATGGAATCCTGAGACTCAGACCTTTCCAATGATATGTTTTTGTCAAGATTATAAAAAGGTTTGATTCTAAAAGACTGTAATGCATTTTGTAATATGACACTTGACACTGCCCACTAAGGGGGAGGAGACCGCCAAAAGATTTTAAAGTACCATTTCCATGGTAACGCAATGTCCGATTTCAAAATGTTTTTCACAGGATGAATCTTGGGCTTCTAAGCTTTCAAAAGATTTGATAGAGAAAAAGGACAACAACAAAAAAGAGTGCCAAGCGTCCCACAGGTGGGACGGTGACAGTTAAGGGGTTTTAAATACTTGAAATTAGTTTAGTTGAGTATAAATTGTGTCTGTGTATACATTTATTTACAAGACTAAAATTAAACTCAAAATGGGTCATCTTGGGTGAAGGGGAAAAGGAGCCAACAAGTGTCCAGTAAGTCAGTGGTTCCCAACCCTGGTCCTTGAGGCACCCCAACACTGCACGTTTTGCATGTCTCCTTAATCAAACACACATGATTCAGGTCATCAGCTCATTAGTAGAGACTCCAAGACCTGAAATTGGTGTGTCAGAGAAAGGAGACATGCAAAATGTGCAGTGTTGGGGTGTCTCCAGGACCAGGGTTGGGAACCGCTGCAGTAAGTGATGGGAGAAACTGCTTTTTGCTTGGTGAAATGATTCACTGTTTCGAAGCGCTTGAAACGCCACTGGTGACGCCTTCTGGTGTGAACCGTGTAAATGCAACGAAAACTCAGTTTAAACACATTTTACAAACCAGTTGCAAATGTTTTATTGAAAGTGGAATCTATTAAATACAATTAACAAGTCATCTAATATGACAAAAAAGCTCAAATATAAGAGAACTTTATTTTGTTTCATTTTCATTGGTCATTACCATAGACTGTATACATATTCCCCAATCCCCATACATGTTATTTCATAGTTTTGATGACTTTCTATTATTCTAAATACTAATAAATAAGGAAAATAGTAATAATAAGGAATGAGAACGAATGTCCAATCGTTTGATTGACAGTAGTTTATTAATATAAATGATTAAATATAGATATTCCCAGATAAACACGTCATTTAAATCAAGGCACTGTCACTGCATACAATTGTGAACAAAATCAAAAGTTCTTAACATTTTATGTTGATCAATTTTAAATGGTCATGGGTAGCTGTGGGCACTGTACACTCTAAAAAATGCTGGGTTAAATATAACCCAGTGCTGGGTAAAATGGGGACAAACCCAGCAATTGGGTTGTTTTGACCCAGCAGTTGGGTTACTACCCAGAAGGTTGGGTTAAACATTTAACCCAACCGCTGGGTCAAAACAGCCCAATAGCTGGGTTTGTCACTATTATACCCAGCACCGGGTTGTATTTAACCCAGCATTTTTTAGAGTGTATGCATATCACAGATTAAGAGCTACCCGTTTACTTAATTTAATTAATTTACTTCAATGAATGCAATCATCTTTCATTTTTAGAAAACATTATTTAACTTTCTTTGAGATTGGGAAAGAATATTTCTCCATCAGTACTACACGTACAACACGGATATGTTTAACAATTAACAGGACAGAGATATGCATGGTACCGTGACCAGCTGGATGTACACACTCACAGTTAATGATGTTTGTCAGGCAGCTTGAAACAACCTATAGGTCGTTTAAACACCAAACTTGTGTAAGTCTGTAGGGTGTGAGAGGAGGTCTATAAAATGTTACACATTCATAAAATGTTATCTTTATGAAACCAAAGTATAGGTTGTTCTCTCTTTGGGACTGTATGCTCAATCAGCGTAATAGCTTATGAGTCTTTCTGCTTCTCGGACTCCTGTGAGATATGCTCCATGGGTCGTGGTGTAGAAGTTCACATGTGTCGCCTCACCAGCAAACAACAGCTGAAGGTGCTTCAAAAACAAAGAGACATAAAATCATTTTGTTAACTTCGTCACTGCTTGATTTTGTAAAATGCAATCTGCTGAATATCTTTTTCACTATTGCGATTTACATCAGGATATGTGGATATCAGTGTTGTTATTGTTAAAACTAAAATAACAATATTTTTCGTTCACTAAAAAAAAAACTGAAATAAAATATAAAAGTTAAAAGAAAAACTTAAATGAAAATTTAGAAATGTTGCATTGGCAGCTAACTGTTATAAAATCAGTTGACGTACTAAAATTACTCAAACGTAAACTTAAATAATAACAAAATAAATCTAAATAGAATATATACAAATATAAAAGATAGTGCTGTCAAATGATTAATCGCATCCAAAATAAAAGTTTTTGCTTACATATGTGTGTGTACTGTGTATATTTATTATGTATGTATAAATACACACACATGCATGTATATATTTAAGAAAAATGTTATATTTGTATATTAAATATATTTATATATCATATAAATTATATAAATATATACATGTAAATTTTTCAAAATATATACTGTATGAGTGTGTATTTATATATACATAATAAATATACTCAGTAGTACACACATATATATTATGTAAACAAAAACTTTTATTTTGGATGCGATTAATCATTCGACAGCACTAATAAAAGAAAATATTAAATTTAAAAAACTATAAAAAGAAAATAAATAAAAACTATAAATATTAATAAATATATAATAAATAATAGTAAAATAACACTGGCTAATACATAGCAGTTTGTTTGTAATAATTGTCAGTTAATGAATAACAAAATAGATATCCAATTCTACAAACGATTCCTTATATTTTGTACTATATAGATACAAATTTAATGTACTGTATATAAATATTCAAACAATTAAATAACTTATTATGAGGTTATTACCTTCCTCCCTCTGCATTTATCTTTAGGAGGAAGAGGTGATGCTAATGCCTTGTGTGCTTTCACTCCATCAACACCATCAGGAATAAATGTGTAGGAGCCATAGACATGAGAATCAGAACCCCATCTGGAGATCAGCGTCTTTGAGACCTCTGGCACTGACCAGCCTGTGAAAGACCTGAGCAACCTTTAAAGACAAGAACAGAGTTTGTCAGCATTTTGAGATTATTACTGCCATTTACCTATAACCATATATTTTGGCCAACACATTCCAACACATGCTTCTCACTCTTCTTTCCACAACTGCCCACAGTAGTTTGATAACATTTAAGTCAGGGCAGAAGTTAATTTTTATTGCTCCAACTCTCCAAGTATTATGATCGTAATCTTTTTCACATTTTAGCACTGGTGTCTGTGATTCCGTTTTTAGCAATTACAGCCCTTTCATGGATGTTGGCTGTGTGAAGGTCTCTCTGGTTGGTTTTTGTGGAAACAGGTTATTCAATGTGAATACCTACATATAATATACACACATACATACAGGGGTTGGTTGAAATAATGTGAACACCTTTCTATAATAGTTTACCGATGCCTTGGTTGAATTGTTTCCATACAATTTTGTACACTAAAGCAGAATGCCTTGCAGGTCAAGGGGGATGAATAATTTTGATTGCAACTGTGTGTGTGTTACCCTACCATATATATATATATATATATATATATATATTATATATATGGTCAAAATATTGCTAATTAATTGGCAAGCCTATTAAACAGCAATGTAAAATGATCATATGTCATATATTTCATCATATATGTTACCATACCTTACACAGATATCTCCTATTTCACTGTCCTGAAGATTCTCCATATACTGCGCTTCTCTCCCTGTGATCCAGCCACACAGAGCTGTTGGATGACGGGCCACTGTATCAAAACCGGTGATCTTCTTAAACCACGTCTTTTTCCAGGTGTCTCCTTCAGACAGAGACTCATAAACATCTTTATCTTCAGGCCCCTCTTTCCACACCATCTGAACCCCGGCACAGTCATCGGGCCAGAAACTCTTCTCAAAAAACAGGACGATTTTGTCCACTATCCCAAAGCCAAGGTTCTCAATTGCAGACAGCTTTTTTTTCGGTAAGGGTGGATCAAACATGGTCGTGGCTTTGTCTTTGAGAACCCCCAGAGAAACGGTGACAATCACATGGTCTGCCTCAAAGCTCCGTCCATTTTCACAAACGACCTGAACAGGATACCTTTGCTCTTCACAATGGCCTTTTCTGACCAAGTCCCATCGGATGCTCTTGACAGCTGCACTACACTGGATAGTTCCTGAAGGTAGATCTTTCAGGAGAACATCTAAGACTGCTCGATAGCCACCGGGTCCCAAAGTGTTAAAAAACCCTCCCTCTAAAGCAGTGTAATTGCTCATTTGAGATGCAGACACCTCGTAGAGGGTAGAGCAAGCCTCGTCTGTGCATTCAGTCCTCTTACACCATTCAAAAACTTGCTGGCCGTCTTCTGTCGTCGCTAGAGGAAATTCACCAAAGGCATCATCCAGATAAGCACCAAGAGTTAGTTTCCTGTGCTTACGCTCAAGTTCATCATCAAAAGCTTTGTCGGTGAGCTTGCTGAAGTGCGAACACACTTGATCTACAGCCGTTTTGGAGACCTGCTTCCCATCTTCTTTGAAAAAGTAATCTCGAGGGGTTACAGAACGGGGCAGGCACATGTTTTTGGATGCAGAAGGTCCCTCGGATAGCAGGTTCTCCTCTTTCGCAATCTTGAACAGGGGGTTTCCTTTCTGTCCATGGATCCAGTTCGCTCCAACTTCAATGACATTCTCTGTGAAGGGTTTAGTGGTGTGCACTCGACCTCCAATTCTTTCCTTCGCCTCAAGAACCAGGACATGTTCAAATCCTGCCTTCACCAACGTAGCTGCAGCGGCCAACCCTGCAAAACCTGAACCTACAATTACAACTTTGGCATCTTCTGGTCCAGAACAAGAGCTCATTCTTGCTTCTTTGTTGAGCTGTTTAGAGAGAGAGAAAAGTTGAAAATGTATAAATGTAGCTGTAAGAACAAATAGCAACTCTCACAGAAAAACTTACACAGGTGATAAGAGAGTCGTGCACTATGCTTTAAAAGAAACCTGTAAAATCTGACCTTTGTAGTCCATACAATATATGATTATTTACATAATCAGGCGGTCATGGGACATCCAATGGCAGACGAAGATCTATAGCCTACGCAGCATGACATTTTCTCGTTTGCACTTTTAAGATTGCATGATGATCAAATGATTTGCCACCTAATGAAGAAACACACGTTATTGTTTTATACTTCTGCCTCAATAGTAGTGACAGTGTGAAGACAGCGACGTTAGTATATTTTTTTGTTGCAAAGCTGAACTTCAAAATAAATGTCTGTTTAGAAAAAAATAAATACAATAATTAAAACTAAATAGATTGTTAAAAAATTGACACTTGGTCCTACCCCCAAACAAAACAAAACCAACTAAATAAAATACTCGTATAAAATAATATTCATACTTTTCTATCTTATTCTTATGTAATATGTAAATTCGCTGTACTGTTTATTTCTGTAGTGCTAAAGCTTTTATGAATGGGAGAACAATAGCCTACCTGTTTGCCACAGGAATCTGCTTTTTAATGGAAAACTCAAAACGTATGGCCTTTACAAGACACTTTAAAAAATAGACTTTTTAACAAGCATAAGAAACCATTTTTTTTCCTGGATAAAATACAGATAACAACGAAAATGTTTTAGTGAACTACGTACTGATGGCGTTAGATGGCGCTTTGTGGTCACCTGTGCTGCGCGTCCTGAGGTAAAAGTGATTTTAACTGTTTATAAAATTCTTATATAATAGGCCTACTTCGAAAACCTCTAAACAACTATAACATCTCCAAACAGAAAAAACAACGAAAACGACAAATTAAACGAAAATAATACATCAAACACGCAGGACACCACAAAACAGGAAAATACACATCGTCTGTATTTACCTCGTGAACGCCATCTGAAGTTTGCTGCAGCCATTACAACCACCACAAAAAGTTGGTATTTGCACTTGTCTTTGCACTGTTTCTCACGAATATAGTTATTTATGGCTCATATATATTAGTGAAGCAAAGTCCGATTCATTTCCGCGAACCGGTTCTTTTCGGATAGATCGGCTCATTGAACCGATTCTTTTCGGGTAGATCGGCTCATTGAACCGGTTATTTTCGGGTAGATCGGCTCATTGAGCTGGTTCTTTTCGGGTAGATCGGCTCATTGAACTGGTTCTTTTCGGGTAGATCGGCTCATTGAACTGGTTCTTTTCGGGTAGATCGGCTCATTGAACCGGTTCAAGAAGCCGATTCATAGGTTCCTGACGTCATCAAGCAATAATGTCTTACTTTACTTTACTTTACTTTACTTTTAGTCATTTAGCAGACGCTTTTATCCAAAGCGACTTACAAATAAGAAAAAGTAATTAAAAGGGTTTTTTCAGGTTTTAATAAAATGTAAATTAATAACAGTCATAATAAGGATATATTTCCAATACGCGCCTCAAGCTTGCACAGTATCGTCAACTCAACCAGAATCTTCGGTAATCCTCGGCAAACTTCGCCACGGCTCATTCGGTTCTTGTTGAGTTCTCGGTAATCCTCGGCAAACTTCGAAAGTTGGTTGAAGTCGGTTCTTTTTGAGTTGGACGTGGCTGTGCGTCCTGCGTCATCAACCCGGAACTAAAGTTCGATTCAGTTCGAGTTGTGAACCGGCTCGACCGGTTACTTCCTGAGAACCGGCTCAAAAGAACGATTCGTTCAAGAACCTAACATCACTATCATATATTAGACATATTCATATATTTAATTTATTCGTAATCGTTCTTCTGCTGTACTTCAAAGTGTCTGAAGTAATTCCACCTGTTTAGATTCAGACTGTCTGTTTTTTTAAAGGCTTTTCAAGCTTGTCACCTTCCAGATTAAACTCTTTGTGTTAACTTCTATCCCTGCTGAAAGAACAGCTTAAACAAGCCCAAGCTTAGCTAGTCTCCCAGGCCAGTCAGGTTGGTGTAGTTTGCTGCTTTTAGAGAAATTTTGGAGACCAGCAAACTAGCCTAGGCTTTTTCTCCTTCCAGCTGGGATGGTAGTACACATGACTTAAACATCGGATAGCTTTCCTAAGTAACTAGGCTGCCCTTATTTGACTATCATTCTCAAACTTGGGTCTCTATGCTATTTAAATGAAAACGGTTTTTGTAACACATATACTGTTTTGTTAGACTGAGATGCAAATGCTTTGCTTAGGGCCACAAAAAAGCGTTACAATACCAAATTGAATTTATGCATAAGTTTATGTATAATATTTGCATTAGCAAAGAGACAACAAAAGATTTTCCATTACAATGAGTCTTTTCCTGTTTATTGACTTTTCCATTAGACAGGTGGTGTGCCTCTTATGCAGTAAATGATTGATACCAATGGAAATTATACATTAGACAGTATACAGAAGTCCCCAAGTGTCTTTTGTAATTAATACTCAGTATACATGATTAACCTCACAAAAACAACTTGTATCTTAGTTGAAATATATTAAAATGTATTGTAGTGCTTAAGCCACTTAAGTGTAAAGCAGCTTTTTGTCAGTGCTTGAAGGTTTCCCCTTGAGGTGCATTAAGGAAAGATTACATTGGAAGTTTACCATGCAGCTTTAATACAAAATCCTGTGTAAAAAAGACAGATTTGCAAACTTAATTTTCCCATTTAGTCCATATTTTCTGTTCAAAAATTATACGTTTAAAGTTATTAATTCTGCTTTATAACATAGGCCTATGGCAATTTCAAATAAATCAATTTGCATTTGCAAAACAATACACTTAAATAAAGTAAAATCTAAAAACTCTAAAAGGATGATCCTGACTAGTGTTTTGCATCGCACCACTACTAGCATTCATACAGTTTTAGCATGAGATGTAGTTTTGTAGAACAGGGATGTATTTGTGCCCATCCTAAAACAGGCCCTTTTCTTTCTTCAGGCTCCGCTGCTTCCAGGATGGCAGAGCATAGAAATCTAACCGAGAAATCCCCATGATCAGGTTAAAGTCGTCGTTTGAGAGATAGTCCTGCATAGATGATAGAGGTGTGTGTTAGCCTAGTTTTATCAATCGATAAATGTCACAAAAACATGTTCAGGTCACATTTGACCCCAAAAAGGAAATTAATGTGTGCTATTAAGATTTTTTAAATTGTGATTATTACTATGTATGTAAAATTACACAAATATAAATGATATAAATATATATTTTAGCAAGTATAAATAAATTCTCTCTCTCTCTCTCTCTCTTTATATATATATATATATATATATAGGTTTTGTGATTCTCCAAAAAGAAAATATTATATTTATAGTGTTTATTTAGTAATTTAGTTTGAAATAAAATGTTACAAATTTAATTGTTTTGAGGAATGTTTCATGGCATTTTAGCATTGTGTATGTTAGATTTGTGTAAGAAAGATGTCTGTAGATCAAAAGTTTACCTCTTTTCTTGTGGGGTCGACTCCATCCGGCAGGTCTTCTGTCTGAATGTTCAACAGCTTCTCTGGTGGGAAGGATTGCGTGACAGGACGGGGTAAGTTACCCCCTTGAGTTGAGCTACTTGAGTTGGTTTGGTTTGAGGTTGGCTGGGTGAGATCCTGTGTACAAGATGTTAAGCCATTTTCACTTTCACTTGTTATTATACATTTATGCATTTAGAAGGTGCTTTTTGCCCAAAGACGTAAAGAGCATTCAATTTATACTTTAAATTTTCTCAGTTCATTCATTCCCTAAGTAACTGAACCCATGACCTTGACATTGCTAGTGAAATGCTACCATTTGAAGAATGAATAACCTACCACAGTAATTTTGATGATATCAGTTGCATCGCCAAGCTCTGCTTTAAGCTGGTCGTAGGATTTCCCACCCTAAAAGAGAATTAAAAAAATATTCATAGCCTGTGACGTAAGCTTGTGAAGTAAGTTGTCATGCTGAAAGAAGGTAAACTCATGTCATTAACTTACACTCCACTTTTGTGGATCCCAGGCGTGGAACCAGCCTGTAAAAGTGGGCGGCTCAAAGCCTTGCTTTACCACTAGGATAGGCGTATCCAGGTCACGCCCTGCAGGATGGGACTTCAGATATTCCTGTGCTGTAACCACTGCTTCATGCTTCTCCTTGTCATTGGCACCTTTGCCAATCCACAGGTGCACCTGACAGAACATATTTGTGCTGTGATTTCTAGTGGTCCAGAAAGAATATGAACAACTGTGATGAGAGAAAACCACCCCGACATTCACCTGATCCCAGATGTCCAGCAACATCACGTCATCCTCATCCAGGTCATCTTGGTTAAAGTTTGTAATCTCTGTCGCTATAAAGCGACCCGTCTGGTTGGAGCACTCAAACAACCGGGGTGTGATACTGGAGTTCTCATCCTGAAGTCTGAGAATAAAAGAAATGTATAGGCTATAGTATAGTCCTAAAACTTGTGAACTGTCTATGTAGACAGGATTGCAAATATCCTTTGCAAAGAAAGCAGTGCCAAAATGCATCCCCCAATGCAAAACCCTATTGAAATTAATTGTCTATATCACTCTCCTGTGTTCTTCAGTTGAGGAGCGCTATAGAGTGCAACAGTGACCGCCCACTTTTTCCATGGAGTTGATTCCAGAAGCATTTTTGTCCATTCACTTTTCCCATAGGTATTTTTTAAAAAGTCTTTAAAAATAGATAGTTCACCTAAAAATGAACATTGTTCCAAACCTGTAAGAGTTTATTTATATCTCATTTTGTCTTGGATGAACTATCCCTTTAAAGCACTATAAGCCATGAGCCAAACCAACAAGATATGAGGTCAATTACAACATCACAACCTTTTATTTTAAGCAAAGTACTTGTAAAAAGTACAGACAAAAAGACAAAGGAACAAGATGGTTAACAGTTTTAATGACATATTGAAACGAAGGAGAAATATAAAATTATTCATTTGAAGTTGTGTATGCATATTATATTATTATTAATAATTATATATTATATTATCAATTAACAACCTCAGAGCTCACAGGTCTTAGGTTTATAAGTTATCGTTAAAAATCAATTTCCTTATGGAGAAAATGAATAGAATTTTTACTTCGAGAATATGACTGTTGCGCTATATTTGTATGATTCATTATTTACAGTATTTACATCATTTCAAAATATTTATAAGGTACTATTTGAGTTAGGATGTGCCCTTAGAATATAGCTGCCCTATGTAGACAACAAGGCAGCTCAACAGGTTTTTCTTTTAGAATGTTTTTTTTTTTTTTTACTGTACAATGTGCAAATTTTACTGTACCTTTTGCTGCTGGCATACTGAGACTTTCCACCAAGGTTTACCCAGAAGTCAGCTGGTTCCTGACCCTCTGCAATAACATGCTTCTCCCTCTTGGAGATGATGTCAGCCAGCGTTTTGGCCATCTCTCTCTCATCTCCACTGCAGCCCTGCACAGTAATATTTAATGCAAGTATTTAGAACAGACAGGTAAGAAGTATGCAGAAACATCATCTGAAATATGCCAGATATTGTCAGCATTTGAAATACCAACCTTGCCATACCACAGGTAGCAGCTCTTATCTGTGCTGAGCACAAACACATCGTTGGAGTTCAGAGAAGATGAGCGCGGAGGCACCTCAGTGGCACGTGTGTTGAACTCATTCGTTCCATGGACATGAAACAGTCTTACTGATGGCTGAGAATGGGAGGAGCCTTCTCTGGAACTTCCTTCCTGTTATTCAATCACAACCAGTCACAAAAACAAAGAAGGTGGATGCATGCACTACAAGGCTTAAAGATAAAGTGTGTCACTTCCGCACTACTAGCGGCACCGTACAGAATTGTTTCCAAAACACTCCTACTGCCTCTTATTTTACAGTCCCACCTAAATTGTTTTCAAGGCACCACACATTTCACGCTTTTCTTGCCAGGCTATGAGTAGCTAACTTTAATTGTCCTTGCAAATTAAACTTGGATAGATGAAGGTATGTTTATAGCAAAAAAATATTTT